ATTATTATTATTATTATTATTATTATTATTATTACTATTCGGGGAAAGCTCTGAATTAACAGGGGTCATACAGCACCTGAGGAACGAAAATCAGGTTTGATCCAAGGAAGCAGAAGTTAGCTCCAGTTCTTCAGATCTTGAACCATTGTTAGTAACAATACTGAGAGTCATGGGTAGGAAGTAATTTCGGAAAACAATTAATAATGACGAGAAATTACCAGCTCAGAACACAACAGTTATTGTTATGTTGAGGAAATGAATGTCACTTACGTGTGTGTGTGTGTGTGTGTGTGTGTGTGTGTGTGTGTGTGTGTGTGTGTGTGTGTGTGTGTGTGTGTGTGTGTGTGTGTGTGTGTGTGTGCCTTTTGGTGTGTGTGTGTGTGTGTTTGTGTGTGTGTGTGTGTGTGTGTGTGTGTGTGTGTGTGTGTGTGTGTGTGTATGTGTGTGTGTACTCACCTAATTGTGGTTACAGAGGTCGAGACTCAGCTCCTGGCCCCGCCTCTTCACTGAGTGCTACTAGGTCCTCTCTCTCCCTGCTTCTTGAGCTTTATCATACCTCATCTTAAAGCTATGTATGGTTCCTGCCTCCACTACCTCACTTGCTAGTCTATTCTACTTGTATGTCATTATCATGTCTCTCCTAACCCTCATGTCCTCCAGTGTCGTCAGGCCGACTTCCCTTGACCTTTCCTAGTAGGACATTACCCTTAGCTATGGAACTAACCTTGTCGCAAACCTTTGCATTTTTTTCTAATTTTTTAACGTGCTTGATCAAGTGTGGGTTCCAAACAGGTGCTGCATACTCCAGTATGGGCCTGACGTACACGGTATACAGTGTCTTGAACGATTCCTTACTAAGGAGTCGGAACGCTATTCTCAGGTTTGCCAGGCGCCCGTATGCTGCAGCAGTTATCTGGTTGATGTGTGCTTCGGGAGACATGCTCGGTGTTATACTCACACCAAGATCTTTCTCCTTGAGCGAGATTTGCGGTCTTCTTTGCCCTTCCCCGATCTTCTTGACTTTGCATTTGGCGGGGTTAAATTCGAGAAGCCAGTTCCTGGACCAGGTATCCAGCCTGTCCAGGTCTCTTTGAAGCCCTACCTGATCCTCATCTGGTTTAATTCTCTTCATTAACTTCACATCATCTGTGAACAGGGACACTTCAGAGTCTAACCCTTCCGTCATCCCATTCACATATACCAGAAATAGCACTGGTCCTAGGATCGACCCCTGTGGAACCCCGTTCGTCACAGGTGCACACTGTGATACCTCATCACGTACCATGACTCGTTGTTGCCTCCCTGTCAGGTATTCTCTGATCCATTGCAGTGCCCTTCCAGTTATATGAGCCTGATCCTCTAGCTTCTGCACTAATCTCTTGTGAGGAACTGCGTCGAAGGCATTCTTGCAGTCCAAGAAAATGCAATCTACCCACCCTTCTCTCTCGTGTCTTACTTATGTTACTTTATCATAAAACTCTAGTAGGTTTGTGACACAGGATTTGCCTTCCATAAATCCGTGCTGGTTGGCGTTTATACTCTTGTTTCATTCCAGGTGCTCCACCACTCTCCTCCTGATAATCTTCTCCATGATTTTGCATACTATACAACTATACTATACTATACTCCTTTTTTATATATGGGTACTACATTTGCCGTCTTCCGTACCTCAGGTAGTTGCCCAGTTTCAAGGAATGTATTTAAGAGTGTGGTTAGTGGCACACACAGCATTTCTGCTCCCTATCTAAAAACCCACGGGGAGATGTTGTCTGGTCCCATTGCCTTTGAGGTATCAAGGTCCCTTAGGAGCTTCTTCACCTCCTCCTCAGTTTGTGTGTATGTCATCCAACACTTATTGGTATATTCGTTGTTGGTGTCCCTCTCTGTTCTGTCCACCAAGAGGCCTTCCTGTCTCCACTGTAAATACTTCATTAAATCTCATGTTGAGCTCCTCACATACATCTTGATCGTTTCTAGTGAGTTCCCCACCTTCTTTCCTCAGCCTTATCACCTGGTCCTTGACTGTTGTCTTCCTCCTAATGTGGTTATACAGCAGTTTTGGGTCAGACTTGACTTTCGATGCTATATCGTTTTCGTACTGTAGCTGGGCCTCCCTCCTTATATGTGCATACTCGTTTCTGGCTCTTCGACTGATCTCTTTGTTTTCCTGGGTCCTTTGCATCCTGTATCTTTTCCATTCTCTGGTGCACTTAGTTTTTGCCTCCCTACACCTTTGAGTAAAGCAAGGACTCGCTTTGGTTTTCCCATTATTTCTATTGCCTTTGGGAACAAACCTTTCCTCTGCCTCCTTGCATTTTGTTGTTACGTATTATTGTGACCCCTGAATGGGTCACAATGTATATAATGTATATTGCCTGTTCATATAATTTTACATTGCTTATATTTGCGATATTAGCTAAATCGTAAATATATTTCTTTATATTATTATTTTACTTAATTATATTATTAGGTAGGATGTAACATTTACATATTATTCAGT